CCATTGGTCAAAAGATTTCCTTGGGATCTTTCAGATACTCACCCTTCCTCTTTGATGGGAATGTGGAGCTGAGGACCATCAGATGCTTTGCACTGCTTTTTTATTTRTAAAATTGATTCCAAAGTTTTTGTATTCACCTCTGCTTTTACGACACTGTATCCTTTGTAATTAAACGTGTGTTATATTTTATTATATAATTTATTTTCCTTACTTTGACTTGCTGTGGCTTGGGAGAAAAATGAACTTGACTAAATCAAACAAGGCAACAGAACCCTGGAGAAACACTTGAAAAAACTGGTGGGTGATAGTTATTTCTTTTATTACCAAGGACTTGGGACAACCACTATGCTTAAAATCCTTAAAAATAGGATTATTTTTATAGGAAAAAAACACTTTTTAGGCTCTTTCAGCCYAGTCAGGGGTACAAGAGAAAAGTAAGGATCTGGTAACAAGAGGGATAGGCATGAGCTCTGCTAGACGTGGAATAAAGTGTGGACCCACAGGAAAAAGGAGAGGAATGTTTGATTTTGGGAGACCTAAGCAAACCGGAAAAGCTTCTTATCCTCTGGAGAAAAACAAGTCAAAGAAAAGCACAGTTCTGCCTAAACTAAGAAATGCTTTGAAGATTCCAACTCAACATTTTCTTGGCTGTTTTACCAAAAAAATTCACAGGAAATAAGAATTGCTTGGGCATCACCTTTAGGTGAATCACATCATCAATTGAACTGGGGCTTATAGGGATAAGAYAAATGACCAAAGAAGGGGCTGTATAGATTTTTTTTTTTTTTTTAAATTATGGTTCTTTCCCTGGCTCTTTGTTTCCTCATGCCTGGTTTTGTTTTCATTTTTATTTTAAACATATTTTCACTTTTGCTTCTAAAAAACTCTCTATGCTAGGAATACTAATGGCTGGAAAATAAATATACAATCATTATCTTCCTCTTTTTTAAAAATTCTTGGTGCATGGCATTTTTATATATTCCTCAAGTTCATAATTTTCCCTGCTCGGTGTATGAAAAATTATCAAAGGCAATAAAAAGGAAAGGAAACAACATTCCTGGTGTTCTTAAAAATATCCCAATAAGTAAAAAAGTGGAACAAATCCTTAAAACATCTACCCAGACAGGCTCTTTTCCATTTTTTTCCCATAAGCACCAGCTGTTTTTTCCATACCAGSACAAAGGATATATTTACAGATTCAGTTTATGGGAGCTTTGTTTATGCACTGGGTGAGGATTAACAACTCATTTTAATTAATATGGCAAAACCAAGTTCAAAGAAGGCAGAAAATTTGTAAATCTTGTAAGACCGCTAATTCTGGCTGTGCTTTTAGACACAGAGAATGTGCCGCACAGAATTTTCCATATTAACATTTTTTCCTAAGGTTTGTACACTGTAATCCTTCCTTCATCATCATTTCACATGGAACCACCTGATTTAGAGGATCTTTAATAACACCCTCGTGCTCCCAATGTWTAGTGTGTCTTTATAATATTTCTAGAAAATGAGCATCACTGTTGTGATGTGTTTCACTGATTTTGGGTGTTCACTGAGCAGGAAACCTGKGAAAGAGCAGGCACCAAAACCCCACCAGGGCAACTTCTACCCCTGCAAATCCAATGGCATTAAAAGGAAAAGGAAGACATACAAATTTTGGTGGAAATCACTTGGATTTTGCAAGAGTAAATCATATCAAGCCACTCTAACTTTCCTTTGTGGCAGATCAAGGAGCCTCGTAAAGCAGTAAATGTAACATATTTTGACTACAGCAGGGCTTTTGGAGTGGTCAGATACATTCCTGGAGTGAAACTGAGGGGACAAAGCCTCAGAACTGCCTGAGGAGCTGCTCAGGAAATGGTAATACACCTCAACAAAAGGAAAGGACCAGCAGGGTTTTCCTGTGGTCACTCTTGAGCCTGAAGTTTAACAAATCTCTTATGAGGGTTTAACTTGTGAAAGATTCAGGATGAATGATAGCAAGAAATTCCCAAAGGGAGGATGGTCGAGCACTAGATTAACTCCAGGCTCTTCAACACTGGATTCTCCATACATTTTCCCAAGCACAAGCTGGACTCTTTGGGGACAAGGGGACAGATTCAATCTGGGTTCTTTTTTGGCTGATGCACTAAATTTGCCATGTGATTTAATGCCTTSGAGCAGTGTAAGAGCAAAATTACCTGTTTGAGATCAGGAATCACAAATACAAAAATTCCAGGTGAAAATGGGCTATTTSCTGCCCTGCTTTTACTCCTTTCTGAAAGGCCACTGGCTCTGTAGGTCACCCTAAAGCCTGGCTTAGAGCTACGTCCTTTAAAACATCACCTAAATAATGGCATCATGAARTGAGCGCAGCTGTCCTGGGAAAGGGTTCTGTGGAATGGGTTGGGTTTGCCTCCGTGGCTTCCTCAGTGTTTTCCAGACTCCATAAAAAGCCAAAGAAATGGAAACAACAGCCATTGCTCTAWACTGTGTGACACATCAGCTCCCAGTCCATGTCTGGGAATCTGAGAATCCTTACAGAGATTTCTCCTACCTGCACGATCCGGTACAAATCTGAGAACATATGAACTGCTGGGAGAGGAAAAGGCATTGGGGTTGGGGAATGAGAACACCTGAGTGACCCTACAGTTGGGTTCCTGACTCTGGAATCTATTAATGTAGCCCTATCTATTCATGGGAGCAATGCAGATGTTCCCAGTTGTGGCAGCAAATGCCCACACCCAGCTGTGGGCCAGATGCTCTCCCTGTCACATAGAACCCCACCGGGGTAAAGTCACTAATTGTGAGCTGGGCTAATCATTTTAATGAGCTCAAACAGAGTGGCTGCATCACAGAGTCTCACTTTGATGCTAATTCCCTCATGSAAGGACTCCTTTCATGTCCCAGGCTGCTGTTTAAACCACCAGACCAATCTGCCAGCCCCCMTTCATTGGAATCTGTCATTAATGAAGGAGGAAGTGTTTGGGTYTGGTGGCAGGAGAAGAATATTTCATTTATTTCATCCTGCCATAGGTTTTCTCCTCGAGAGTCAATACCAGCAGGGAAATACAGAACCTGAAATTCTCTCTGGAGCCTGAAAATTCTCTCAGCAGCAGCTTTGTTAACCTGTACATTCCGTCTCCTATATTGTAAAGAACACTACTGTGATCTGTAAATCTTATTTTGGAGCCACGAGTCTGCAAACTGGTTTCTTTGACAATTTAAATACACATCTCATGTCTCCTTCAAGAATGATTCTATGAATTTTTTGATGAAAACTATAGAAAAAGCACCTGTGTGCCCATTGTTAGTCAAATTAGAGCCCTTGAAATATTACTTTCTATTATTCACCATTTTAAAAGAGTTTAATAAGCTGCATTTTATCAAACRCCACTGTATTTTTCAAAGGATTTTAGAGAGACTGTCTCACCATTTTTGTTTCCCAAGCCGCAGATAATGTGAGAAGAAAACGTACCAAGTTTCTTAAGAATCATTCCATAGCTAATTCCAAACCAATTATTTTCTATAAAAGTGGTGGTGTAGAGCTTTTGTGGTTGCTGTATTTAAGTTTTACAGAGCAAGTGTTGACGGCACACAGAGGAAGGTAATACATCCAGGAGAAAAAACAGCTCAATAGAAGATTCAGGTTTAAATATATGGGYTATCCCTAAAATCCTGTTACTAAATTCAGAGTGTTTATTACACCATAGAGTTATAGAATGGTTTCAGATGGAAAGGACCTTAAAGATCATCCAACTCCAACTCCCCAAAGGGATGCCACTGCTAGTTCAGAAGTCAGGGTTAAAGTTTTTAAACAATGTAAATAACTTCTTGTAATTTTAAAATAAACATAAACACTGCCTGSTTTTCTTCTCCCTGCCTCCAGAGARCCAGCAGTGATTCTTTCACTTCAGTCCAGCAGAAATATTTGCCGATATTTTTCTGATTAAAGCATTGCACAAAATTAATTGCCTGTTTAATATCTTAACGTYGTGACTTTCAGAGGAAACTATTTGGAGTAGGGATACGGCCCATCCAGAGGCTTTGTAATGAACACAACCAGGTCTCAAATCTGTTTTAGAGTTCTGGGTGCTGAGCCAATACAGTGATTTTATAGGATTTCTACCACAYAATCCATCAGGATGGGTGGGCAGTATCAGCCTTTCTGCTCGTTTGTTGATGAGGTTTCTGTTTGGAAGGGGAATGGAACTCAAAGAAGGGCTGGCAATGATGCACCTGGTGGTACCTGGATCCCTGTAAGGATACAGTGAGTGACTGTGAGTGCTTTGTGCTGTCACCAGCTCTGACCATGCCCCCAAAAAGGTGTCCAGCCCTGTAGGGTACCTGCCCTGTGCTGCTCACCTGGAAACACTGACATTTCCTCCCTTCCCAGATCAAACATATCCATTCTGAGCAATTAAAGATTTATTTCTTGAGCGCCATAATATTAATGCAAAATAAAACCGTGGTCCTTCATGGAGATTTTTGGGTTTCACTGGGCTCCTTGTAAGCCCAGGCTGCACAGCCCTGGGGTCAGGGATGGCCATGCAGACAATCGCGGAATGGTTGGGGCTGGAAGGAACCCTGGAGATCACCCGTGGAGGTGACACAGGAACACATCCAGGTGGGTTTGGGRTGTCTCCAGAGRGGGARACTCCACACCCGCTMTGRGCAGCTGYTCCAGAGCTCTGCMACCCTCATGGAAAGAAGTTCTTCCTCGTGTTTAGGTGGAACTTCTTGCGTTGTAGTTCATGGCCACGGCTCCTTGTCCTGTCCCTGGATAGAACCCGSCACCACCCTTTTGGAGACATTTACACGGATTGCAGCCGCCTTCCCCGTCTCAGCCCGAAATCTCAGGGATCGCTTTCGGGGAGCGCTGCCGGGGGCGATGCCAGGCGGGCCCCGCGGCCCGGGGGCGGTGCGGGGTTCCGGGGCCGGCGGGCGGGGCCGGAGCAGAGCGGAGCGGAGCGGAGCGGAGCGGGGCGGGGGGGCCGGGCCGGCCCTGTGGCTGCCCCGTCCCCTCACGGTGCCGGCGCTCCCGTGCGCGCCCCCCCGGCGGGCGGCGGGGGCGGGCGCCGTCCGGGCCGCGCTGATCGCAGCGCGCCATTGGCCGCTGTCTGCGCGCACGTCACGATCATGATGAGAATTAATGATCGGGGCCGCTGATTTCATTGTGTGACGCCGGGACCGACCCAGCCGAGCCCGGCCGAGCCCGGAGCCCCCGCGCCGGCCCCGCGCTACACGGTAAGCGCGGGGGAGCCCGCCGAGGGGGGGAGTGCGGCGGGGCCTTTGGGCAGGAGGGGCGCGGCGGGAGGGGAGGAGGAGGAAGAGGATGATGATGGCGATGATGATGATGATGATGATGGTGGTGATGATGATTATGATGATGATGCCGGCGGTGCCCCCCCCTCGGGCCCAGCGGCTGTGTGTGTGTGGGGGGGGAGGCCCGCGCGGGCTCGCGCTCGCGGACGCGCCCGGCGCGCGCAGGCGCTGCTGCTCCTCCCGCCCCC